CCTGTAACTGCGCAACTGTTCCTTACGCCTATTAGCTCTTCGTTGCCGGGCATCCAGGAACAACTCACTGCAGACGTACAGATCACTCTTCCTTGTCTCCTCCCCACTGGTCCAAGGCTCAGGCGCCTCTGTGGCCAACCAGCCTCTCTGCGCCCTGCTCGGAGTTGGAACCCTGTCCAGGGTCCTCCACATCCTCCAGAGCCGACTCATAGGGCCCCTCGCTGTCAGAGTCTGGTGGCAGCTCCAATGGCTTCTGCTGGGCCACAACACATACCATACCTAATACTATAACAATCCTCTTCTTAACTGGTTTAACTTTGTTAAAACATTTTCTCTACTTCACTCTTCTGCTTTTTTCCATTTTTCATATTTATTCTCTAACCATTGCTAAAATAATTCCCATATATTGTAATAATCAGATTGTTCCTTCTCTTTAATTTCAAGTATTAACCTATTCATTTCTGCACCTTCTAATATTTCCCTAATCACATTCCCATCCATAAGGATATCTTCATTTTTTTCCAATTTTGTGCAAATACAATCCTAGCTGAGTTTATTACATGAATTATTAAATATACATTTTCTTTACTATAAGTTTCTGGTAAAATCCACAACAAAAATAATTCAGGTTTCAGATCAATTGTTGTATCATCTCCTCCAACCATGCACATATTTTTATCCAATATTTTTTGGCTTTTACGCATGTCCATGCTAGTTTTAAATTCTTGGTAAGGTCCTTGACTCAACCTTCTCTGACCCAATTCCTTCCAATAATTGACAGTGCCTGTCTTCCTCCATGATGCTAAACCATTTCCCCCCCAACGAGGTTATGTTGAATAAGACATACTATAATAGTTGAGTCATAATGCTAAACCACGATGAGTAGATTTACCTAACTTCAGGCCCAAAATAATATCTCAGTCAATATCTGAATGCAGATGGTTATTAATAGTGACCTCCTCTTTATGAGTAGGGGCGCGATGGCTCAGTGATTAAAGACGCTGAGTGTTGACATCCAGCTCCAGAATCCAAATAAAGGTTCATTCCATTTCCAAAATCTCAACTGTTTATGGACTAACTGCATGGTAATGTCAAAGCAAAACTAACTCTGAGGTTCCCAGACTAAATAACAATAGAACAATAGAATAAAACTACAATAATTTCCCCCAACCTCTGTAAGCAAGTTCATTTTGTTATGGGAACCATCTGCTTCAACTCCACACCTTCTACGATGTCCTTGAAAAGGTTTCAGGCTTTCTCGCAGTCTTCAGCAGAATCATGGAGATTTTGTTTCTCCATCCAACCCATTCTAAAGCAACACCTCCCCCTCTTACTTTAGTGGCAAGTTGAAATAAAGAGGCACGTAGCTGCCAAAGTTTCATACTTGACACTGAGCTTGTCAGCCAACAGCCCAGTTCGAGACACAAGTGCTGCGCGATGGGGCAAGCTCCCATTATTTGCCCCAGTTTCCGTTCACCTAGCAGTTCAAGAGTATGCAAATGCAAGTAGATAAAGAAGGTTTCAGTGGGAAGGTAACCATGTTCCGTGTGTCTTTGTTGTATAGTCATGTTGGCCACATGACCACGGAAATTATCTTCAGATAGAAAAGAAACCACAACCACAAAAACAAGAAAAAAGAAAAGAAGAAATTAGGAAAAGGGGGAGAAGAAGAAAAATGATTAAAAGTGGAATTTGTGAGAGCCTAAGAGAAGAGGGATAAAGGAGGAAGAAGGGGGGAAAGAGTTGTATTAGTAGACTAAAGGGAATAGTAGTATGATTGGTATTGTTATGTAACTAATTAAGAAATAAAGTCATTATAGTATATTGTTAATTGTAGAAAAAATTGAAATGCTCTCTAAGTCAAAACATAACTAGAGGATATATATTATCCTCTAGTTTATAGTTCTAGTTTACAGTACTAATACAGACTAATATAGAAATATGAAACGGTAATTGGGTGTAATTTTTGAAGGGCCAATTGAAGATATTTTTATGTATTAAGAAAAAATGAGTATGAAAAATGGAAAACAATGGAAGAAAATAATTTGGCTGAAAGTGAAAACCAAGCTATAATGTAAAATAGATTATGTAAATGAGAGGATGTAAATAGGAAAGATCCGGTCAACGCTTTGTTCCGATAATATGTATAAAGTTGTATTAAAAAATTTAAAAAAATTATCTTCAGATAACGCTGGCTCCCTTGGTCAAGAAACAGAGGTGGGCACTTTGAGCTTTACCTCTTTATGAAAGATCCTAAAGACAGATCACAACTTTCTGTTTTTCTCCAGTTACAATCCGTTTGATGGGCCAAATGAAAACCCAGAGGCTGAACTTCCTCTCACCGCAGGAAAATATCTTTATGTGTATGGAGATATGGACGAAGATGGCTTTTTTGAAGGTTTGTGGGAGATGAGGGGAGCCCTAGTGGTCCCTTGATTTAAATATTTTTATTGAAATCGCTCCACCCTTGAGATAACAGAAGCTTTGTCAAACGTGAGCTGGTCAGGAACTGTTGGCAGTGGGTAGAGTTAGCCTGCAATACTTCATTCAAACCAGTGGGAGGGAGGGAGGGAGGGAAGGAAGGAAAGAAGGAAAGAAGGAAAGAAGGAAAGAAGGAAAGAAGGAAAGAAGGAAGGAAGGAACTGGCAATAGCCTTTAGACTTATATACCACTTCACAGTGCTTTACAGCCCTCTCTAAGCGGTTTACAGAGTCAGCCTCTTGACCTCAACAATCTGGGCCCTCATTTTACCCATCTTTGAAGGAGGCAAGGCTGAATCAACTTTGAACCTGGTGAGATTCAAACTGCCAAATTGCAGGCAGCCAGCAGTCAGCAGAAGTAGCTTGCAGTACTGCAATCTAACCACTGTACCACCGTGGCTCACAAAATTACCCTTATTCAGAGGTGGGATTCAGCAATTCTGACAGGTTTGGACTAATCCCATCACTGCTGGTGCCGCCTCCACCCGTTTTTGGGGGTGTTTTTCAGCCAGTTTTTTGGGTTGAAAATGGCTCAAAAGCGGCCTGAAAAATGACCCCAAAACAGTTTGAAAAAAGGCCAAAAACCATGCCAAAAAATGGGTGGGGCAGAGCTAGCCAGTAGTGGGATTAGATGGCCCACCGAACTGGGCAGAAATTTAACAACTGGTTTGCCCGAGCTGATCCGAACCCGCTGAATCTCACCTCTGTCCTTATCAAATAATTAATAGATGATTCTTAACTGGGAGAGGGGATGAACAGGATCTTTATGTTGTGGGAACACGCCTGATCGGTGTCTTCCTTTTCTCAGAGGTAGGATTCAGACGATTCTGACCAGGTAGCAGAAATTTTGAGTAGTTCAGAGAACCGGCAAATACTATCTCTGACTTGACCTGCCCCCATCTATTCGCTGCCTCCTGAGTCCCAGCTGATCAGGAGGAATTGGGGATTTTGCAGTAACCTTCCCCCAGGAGTGGGGAGGGAATGGAGATTTTACAGTATCCTTCCCCTAAGAATGGGGAGGGAAAGGGATTTTGCAGTATCCTTCCCCTGAAGTGGGGAGGGAATGGATATTTTACAGTAGCCTTCCCCTGGAGTGGGGAGGGAATGGGGATTTTGCAGTATCCTTCCCCTGGAGTGAGGAGGGAATGGGGATTTTGCAGTATCCTTCCCCTGGAGT